AAGGACATATTTCACTGGTGGTACTGGAAGACAAAGTTAAGTGATGAAAATTAGAAGTTACGAATAATGAAGCATCTGATAGATTTCATTCATTCGGCCATTTTATGGTCCATTAATTTTTGACATTTTGGATTACTTTACTTTGATATCACAAATGACTGAATAGTTTTTTTTGTTTCACTGTCCTTTTCCTCTCTTCTTCTGCTTTACCAGTTTACTTACTCGTTACAACAGTTTTGTTGTATTCTGTAAACATTGCTTTGCCACTATTACCCTTTTACTTCTTTCCCTCTCCCTTTTAATCACACTTTGACTACTAATGACAGCGAATTTGAAATAAAAGTGAAAGAAAATAAAAGTTACTCTTTTCCTATCAGCTCTTGATCATTTCAATATTGCGTTAGCGACATTTTGACGTCAACTTTTTTACACAGATAAACTGCATCTGTTGCGATCATTTTTTCTCACATTTTTTTCGGGCTTACAATTTCCTTCAGCAAAAACTGCAGTTAAAAAAAACTATAAGAGGGAAAAAGAACAGTAAATGAAGTTTTTTGTATGCTCACCAATTGCCATTTTTTTCCGCTCTATAATCAATGTTGATTTAGCTAGAACGTTTTTTCCCTGAACTCACTGCCGATCAAGCAACATCTTACCTTCAACATTTGAATCAAATCAGCATTGAACAGTGGCTTTGAAAATTTCATCATTTAGTCTCTTATGTTGTTCAATTTTTCAAAAGAAAAAAAACTGCCATTTGAGTTTTTGAGCATTTAAAGAAAAGCGGATTTCTATTGAAAAAACGTTCAAAAAAGACGGCAATGCAAACAATATCGTTATGTCAGAATTATTCATAATGAGCAATCTTTGTGGGCCGCACAGCATTTTCCTTAAATGTCCACAAAGAAGTGATGAGAACACAAGCAGCGTGGCGCAGCGGAAGCGTGCTGGGCCCATAACCCAGAGGTCGGTGGATCGAAACCACTCGCTGCTATCTTGTTTTCCACCCTTCTCCGATGAATGCTGCGCCGTCTACCGCGCAGACGTCCACTGCCAAATTCCGTGAATAACGCATTTCTTTGCACTTCTTGCTGCCCCATCTTCTCACCGACTGTTCTCTCCCCTCCCATCTGCTGTTTAACCAACACACAAATCTTTTGAAAGTTTTAAAGCTGCCACATGTGTAGTAACAACTAGAAAGTCAAAAAAATATAAAAGGTTCAGAATGCTTCATATACATCTCGTATCTATTCCCATGAGTGAATAACCCATATTTAACAAATTGTCTTCTTTGGTTAAGATATTGCAGCTGACTGAAAAATTTACAGCCACAAGTTAAGAAAACTATAAGTTGAATGTCTCATCGATTCAAGAACCACCTTAAAAACTTTTTTTCAAAATTCCTGAACCAAAAAAAATAAAAAATTCTATTCTTCGCTTTGGTGATAAGTCAGAGCTCCAACGTTTGAGGGAATTATTTTGCAAACACAATAATATACCGCTGTCTAAAATGGCAGTCAAAAATTGAAACTTTTTAAATAAAAGTTGTGTAGAAAACTGCCGAAAAATAAACAATTGATAATCAGTTTGAACCGACCATTTAGGAATAGTTTCAAACTATAGATTAATAAATGAGCAAAAATACTTTCTGGACCGTGAAGAGCTCGTAACTTCCTCTAAGTAAAAAAAATAAAATTAAAAAATAAAACTGTTAAAAGCAATAAAATTTGGTTGCAGATGTCCTGCGGTAGAAAACTTGTTTGAATCTGTAAACGATTTATTCACAAAAATAAGCAACAATCAGAGATCATTTCAAATATACAAGCAAGTGCGAAAGAGCAAACCATAATATCTCACCGAGAAACCATCCAAAAACAAGCAAGTTCCTTTTGAAAACGAATTTGCTATTAGAGAGGAACTAAAAATTCGTAAAAAAAAAAGTTTTACAATTCTTTAAAACACTAATGTCATGTCCAAAATATTAACAAAGAAACTAAAAACTGTCGTGTAATTAACAAGAAAGTCCTGCTCTTAGTCATTAAACGATACGAAAGAAAAAAGGAAAGTGAACAATATGTAAAAACTTTCTCAACCCGTTAGTTCCTCGTGCTATAAGTCCCATGTAATGTAATTACCATCAAACTTCTGCCACTTAATCATCACTTAAAGGCACTTTCACCTTGTGTGATCAAAGAAAAATTCAACAGAATAATACAAATTTGCATAAAGAACGAAATTTGATGATAAACAATGTTAACCCTGAGAAATCCACTGTTAATGCACACATCCAGGCTTATTTGTTTTCGCTAGGGTTCATTTCTTGTTGCCGTAATGCACTAAAGTCCGTTGACCCATTGTTAGCTGGGTAGTTGGTAGGTTCAAAAGTTGCGTTTGAATCAGAATCAAAACCTGCTTCTGAGAACCCTAGGTTCGAGTCATCGTTGAGATTTGAGAATGACTGGACTCTTAAGCTATCACCATTCTCTGCAAGTTAATAATAAATGGCATATCTGCACGCAATAAACGCCGAATAAGAAGAAGATTGGTTTGTCATTCACCCCAGTACAGAAGCTAAGTTCCTAAGCACAAATGACTCCATCTCAAGGTTTGTAAGCTACATATAAGCAACTTCCGAGTTGCCATCTTTTAGTCAGCAAAAAATTTAAAAGAACACTTCAACAAAAAAAAAAAAGCCGCCAGTATTCCCCCGCAACCAAAAAAAATTTTAAAAGTCTGTTGAAAAATATAAGGTTGAAAATCGAATTCAAGTTTTTTTCTCTTTTTTTTTTTT